TTCTTTTTCATTTCGAATCTTCATACATTAGCACAAATCGCTAGTACTAAATGAAGATTTAATCATCTGGTAAATTAATAAGCTAATCTGTTCTCAGGAATGAAGAGCAAGTATTATTTAAGGACTTCAAACAGTTTGAATGTACAGCGTTATGATTTTATAGTGCCTACCCTTTAAGTTATCCAATAATAATTAGCCATTACCCATTCTGATAATTGGCCATTTGAATTAATTTACAAGCTGACATGAATTTGAACGAAATGATTGGAATAAATATCCAAGTTGTTGGGCTCAATAAATGTGACATAAACGATCATAATAATAAAATTTCCCAATTCTAATTTGGAAAATAATTCTTTCATCACATTGCTCTTCGATTCACTGGAAAAAAAATCAATCAAGCATAGATGCCGGGAAGCAATTCAATAAAAACACTGTCCTCATTATATATCCGGAACAGTACTTGGAGCCATTTGTCATGAAATAGAATTCGTGTGGGAGACTTATAGTCAGATAAGGCATATATTATGAGCTAATAAAGACGATTTAAGTACAATAATTTTCCGTATAGTTTTATCTGTAGAAAAATTCTGCATATTTGCATTAAATGTTAGAAGTTCCAAATCAAGTTTTTGAGATACCCACAACTGTAGTTAATGTAATGAACATGAATTGCAATTCTAGAATGAAATCGTCAAGTTAAAATGTAAAAGATCATTTTCACATTTCACATTTGCTCTCTATCATATTTATTTCATATCTTCAATTTATTTTGGCCTCTTTAGTGTGTTTGTGGAAATTAACAGTAAAAAGTTAAAAATTTTTTACTGGCATATATATATGTGTATATGGTATAAAATATTCTATAAGTAATTATCTATCATAAAAATTTAGTCCTGCTATTTTAAACAGTAAGATTCTTTATAGATTGTTCATTTAAACGATGCCAAGTGCGCAAATGCATATCTTTATACACATAGCAAATGCACAACCTAGAAAGAAATAACTACAAATAGACAAATAAAATGAGAATGAGGTGTTCGCATTTTTGTTGAAATATTTACTGACCAAAAAAACTTGTTTCGTCTAAT